GATTTATTTTTAGTGGTTAACACAGATACACACACACACACCCACACACTCACACACACAAATGTATTCCAAAAAATACTTGAGCTGGAATGGAATATTTATGGTGTATCAAGCATGGAAAGAGCATTCCAAAATTTTAAATATTTGTCTGCTACGAATAACCCCAAAACTGATAGCAGTATGTATACGTTCAATTTGTTTAAAACAATAACGAATTCTTGCGATATATGTAATATCGCATTTCATTTGCACACACACATGCATAGATGTCTGAAGAAATAGCATTTTTAAATAGACATTCAATTGAATTTAAAACGACATATATTTAGTCATAGATGGATTCACGTGCTGCCTGCAATAATTTCAACCCAAAACAGACAAGTGGCAATATCAAGATCTGTCTATAAGCAAAGCCTACGAATACACCCAACTTGTATATGCAGAATCTAATATATATATACATATACCATTGAATATCTATAACTATACCCAAAAGTATATATACATCAGAAATGCGCCCAAAATACATTCGGATATGCGCCACAATTCGCATAGTCTACGATTGCCGCACTGTACGCCTCCAGAGTGAACAAAATGTTCAAGAACAGTATACAGAATATAGAATACAGAATACAAAATATAAAATAGAAATAGAGAAGCAGCAGCAGCAGCAGCAGCAGCAGCAGAAAAATATAAATAATTTGATGGCAAATAGCATATAGATACAATTGTGAATATTTCTATAGATTAGAGTGGGCATGTTAGTAATTGCACAAAAATGAAATGATCTGCCTTCTTCATGCAGAATAAACATACATTCTAAGCTCCATAATAATACCTATGCACATAAATATTTAAACCTTAAATACCTGTCTAATAATTGTATTATCGCATACTTTGCTCCCTTTTTTCATTAATTATTCTGTGCGTTATTCCAATATAGTATAACATGCTTTGATAAAGGATTTATTATACTATTATCTTATTATTTGTATTCTAATATATACGTTCATAAATTTTTTTCCCAAATTATTTCTTAAATATTCATTGAAGGAATATCAAATACTTTCTTAATGGTTTTAGCTTTATTGAAATACAAATAATTATCTAATTTGCAAAATAGTTTAAGTCCTATGATTTTTAATGATGTCCAATGATTTTTGGACCATCCCAATAGAGTGGTACTGTCCTATGCTCTCTCTATACTCTATACTATGTGGCCAATGGAAATAAATGACGCGGACATTTATGGTGCGCGCTAAAAAAGAATTTCTTGAGTTAGTTACACACATATAGAAAATGCTGTTCAATAATTTGTTGAGTGTTGTTGCTTTGGCGATGGTTTCATTTCTTGCTGCGATGATTTTATTTTTAACAATGTTATTTTATATTCACAAAAGCGAGCGCATAGAACACAAAAACACACATATGTATGTACAGAGCTAAAAAATACAAGTGTGAACATTTTAAATGGGCATAGCTGACTGCGAAATACTCTAATACTCTGAAGCGAGGAAGGACGAAAGAAATCATTTTTTGGGCACATAGGTGATTGTTTCTGTTTTCAAGTTTGGTGTCTCTAGATATAAAATTATTCCATATATAGGCAGTCGTGATTTTTGGTATAAGCTTTGGTACGTTAGCTCCAAAATTTGAGGGAGAGAGTGAGCGTGGGCGTTTTTTAAGGGTGTTGTAAAACAACCTTAAAAACTTTCAAAGATTTTTCTCTTTTTTGGGAGTGGAGGATCAGTGATTTCGGGGGTAGGTGCGTCCCTCAAAGTTATGTACCGATTATTTAAGGATGTCACCAACGATCTCTTTTCTAGGAACACCAAGCTTAAAAAAGGTTGTAAAAGCGCCCAGTAAAATTTCAGCTGACATTATTTTATTTAAATAAGTGAGGGTATGAATGGGCTTACATGACTATAATAAGGTAAATTAATTTTTAATTAATAATACTATACTACTATACTATAATAATTAATGTATATACACATATATGTTAATATGTTTCAGTAACTTTTTCAATTTTGGATAAAAACAAATATGCTCTTTATACCTTCGGTTGCAGAGTAAACAAATGGAAATACATACATAAGTATGTACACATATGTGTGTATATTTACAGAAAAATACCGCCAACGCTTTCATCATCGACCAAACGGGCTAGATCAGCTGTATGTCATGAATATGCGATATATCTAGCGGGAAACAGAATCGAAGAGGCAGCATTTGTAGAAATGGATATATGTATATGTATATATGTATTATTGACTTATCAACATGTATATCTATTTTATACAGTGTATGTAATGTGTAATTGTATTTGGTTGGTTGGTTGAATCGGAAGTTCCTATATGATTGCGCTCAGATTCAGCTGCCTCAGCCTTGGGGTATATAGCGTCAGAGGCGCTTCCGTTGAAGCGATGAGGCGGCGCCATCCCCCCAACCACTCGGTGGACTCGGTGGTTTTTGACAATTTCTATATATAGACGCCGCCACACACAGTCAAGTTTGACTTTTCGCGTTGTGGAACACTTGTCGCTATCTGCTGTTTGCTGTTTGCTGTGTCTGCCCAAAAGTTGATCCGATGTTTGCTTCACCAAATGAATCAGGAATTTTAATTCGTCACTATTTCAAGTTCAATTCATTTGGACTTTGACTTGCACTTGCCTTGCATTGCAATTTCATTTTGCATCGTTTAATGTATTTTTGTATCCATACAACTGGCAGAGATCTTCTCCCCCAAATTCATCCTCTGCTCCGAGTGCTCAGAGTGCTTGCCGCACATGTGTCTCACTTTAATCTTATTATTGGGGGAGGCAGCTGCATTTTACCGTATATGGTGCTTTGGCACCCGCTACAAATTATTTGTCTTTTTGGTCTTCTTAAGCGAATGATTCACGATCTGTTTTTCAATCGATGCCCTTGTCATTTGTGTCTGTTCTTTCTCTTTCTCTCTTCCTCTCTTCCTCTCTCTCTCCATTCGGCTCTATCGCTCAATCAGCGGCGGTCTAATAATAAGTGCACATTAGTTTTGAAGTGCAGCATTCCGGTTGCATTTCCCCTAAATTCTCATAGCTCATTTACAGTTTGACAGCTGTGCAGGAATAACAAACAAATGCTTTAAATTGATTTTTGGTTGATTAATGGATGCTGAAACTTATTGAACAAGTGACATTTGAAAAGCTTGTATATTGAAGCTTTTATCATGTTGTGAACCACTTGCACTGCTTACTGTGTCGAGAAAATATTATTCAAAGTATTATAATTATTAACAATCCATAATCTCCTTAAGAAACATAACAGCAAAAGCATTAATTTAATTAGAGATAACTTGTAATTATTTACTTATTTATTATTAAGCTTCCTGCGGGATAAACATTTTTAAACTGCTTGAAATATATAAAGCAGTTTTAAGGTTGTACTGCTTGAGCATTACTTGACTGCTTTTTTATAATGACTCATAGATGGCGCTTTACAACATTTCAATTCGTTTTTTGTGTTTACTTTAAATTATTTTTAATGAACCAATATATTAAAAACCGAATTTAAGAATGTTGGTTAAAGTTCTGCCGCTGTCGTAACTTAACAGATCTTTGTAAGCTTCGATTTCATTTGGAGTAAGTATTTATTTAAAGTAGTTTATATATGTTTAATTGCGTAAATAACTTTCGGCCCAAACGGTATAATTTGTTTTCATTTAAAAATGTGTTTTTCCCATGCATTAATCAAATGTAATGAATTACTAGCAAATGGATTGCAACGTTGCAATTGCGCTTTGAACGAAACACACAAATAAGCCAAAATTCCACCCCTATTTCCCTTGAAAAATACAATTCCCTAGTTTATGCTTGCATTTGAGTGAGATTTTTGAAAAGATATTGTGCGTGTGATAAGCACAGAGTGTAATTGCCAGCAATTATCATTGTGCATACGAGACGACTACACGGCTGGGCCGAGGTCGTGTAATGGAGCAAACATATGAGATATATCCTATATGTGAACTATATTTGTATGTATGTGAAGTGACACGCCCCGCTGTGGGCACAGTGCTCGCATTTTAATTGCATGCGGCGTTAATCAATTATAATTTATTCATTATTTTATTACATTCGACGTTCAACTACTTCGACTATATATATATATATATATATGTTTCTGGGTATTACCTGAACCCCTCCCTCCTCTAAGGTCCCACTTTGTTGCTGTCAATTATGTGTCATTATGCGCCTTTGTTTATTGTGCATTTAGTCCTTTTTAATTGCACTTAATTGCCGCTTGTCAGCATTTTCCATTTGTTGCTCCCATCTAAGCGTTGGGCTTCTCTTTTGCAGCTTTCTCCTTGGGTTTCGATTATTAATTTAGTCGTTAAAGAGTTTTCGACAGTTGATTAACAGCGCTGATAAAGTTGTTTAATTGTACGAGGGTAGTTCATTTATTTTTTTTATTTTTTTTATTTTGAGTTTCCTAGATTTAAGTTGAACAATTCTAAATCAAACGCAGTCCAAAGACCACTAATGTGATTACTTAAATCACCAGCTACGACTGTCAAAATTGAATGCTGGTTGCTGTGAAGAAAATGGAAAATGTTCGCGGTCTGCGGTGCTCTTATTGGTTTGTGGTTTTTGTTGTTGCGATTTTTGCAATTTAAATTTAGCACCATTTCCGATTTTCATTTCTCCCATGTATGGAAACAATTTGTGAGATACATTTATGTGAGCTAAAACTTGTATATTTATTTTGTGCTAATATGCATTGGGGAATTGGGTTCGCTTTGTTTTGTGTTCTGTTCTTGTTTTGTTTCATTAGGAAATGTTATTGGAATGTTACAAATAGATATATTATGCTCATTAAAATCTATTTATTTATGCTTCAGCGCGAGAGATTGAAAACTCTTTTGCTCACTGGTTCTTGGCTATACAAATTAAGGATTTTACAACGATCAATTTACTAAACTAAAAAAACACATAACTAAACAAATACGATTATGTATATATATATATATATATATGTATGTATATATATATGTGTGAATCTCTGTGGATTTTGATTGGGCTGTGAGTGGAACTAAGGCTAACATTTGAGTTAAACTTATGTAGTATGTGAATTGCAGTGTGTGCCAAAACTAGACCATGGATACAAGGCCTTTGTTCAGATTATCCAGATGCTCCTTGGCCTTGATGCGCAGCGTGGCAATTGAATTGCTGCGCATATCCACAGATGGCGACGGCGATGGCGACGTCGACTGCTTGAGGGGCAGCGACGATTGCGGCGGGGGACTCTCTCTGCCCACATCGAGCAGCAGCTCGTTGGTGCATTTCTCCAGGCTGCCTGTGCCGTTGCTACTGCCCCCGTCGAGGTCGCTGCAATCGCGTGGATCCCCATTGGAGTCGGCATTGGAAATGCTGAGGTTTTGCGGTGACATGCACACATCCGGCCCGCTGCACTCCAGCGACGAGACGAGGACGAGCGTCGAGCATGCTGTGTCGTCATCGTCATCGTTGTCGTCGCAGCGATGGGCAAAGGCGGCTGATTGGGCGTGATGCGGCGAGAGTGATGTTGCATGCGGCGACATGCGCGACAGGTGCGGTGAGAGATGAGACAACGGCACGACCGCACCATGATGATGTGGATGCGGTGGCGGTGGCCCACCGGGTGGTGGCGGCGCCAGTTGTCCGGTGTGTGGTCCGTGTGGCATCGGTGGTGGCGGCGGTGGTGGACCATGATGGTGACCCATTGCTGCCAGGCTGCTCATTGTCAGACTGCCGGGTGCGAGGCTCAGTGGCGGCGTCAGATAGCTGGGATAAACGGTTTGCGGATGCGACAGAAAGCCTGCAAAGGGTTGCGATTGAGTTGTTGTTGTTGTTGACGGGTTCATATGTGGTAATTACCTGGCAGCGCGCTAAGCAGCGGCGGTGAGAGCCAAGGATCCACTGGCAAGCCAGATGCACCGCAGCCCAAACGATGCGGCAGCTGCGTAAAATGCGTCAGGCCCAGACGCAAGCTTTCCGATTTCTCCTGGCGGCGCCACTTGGCGCGTCGATTCTGGAACCAGAC